AGAGCATCGTGTTCAGGGTCAAGCATCAGCATTATGATACAACCCATAAAAGATTCCTAGCATATTTCGAGCGAGAACTTGATCAATTTCCAGCAGAAAACTGAAGGGCATATATTACAGGAAAGTTTGTGGAAAAACAGGGCTTCACTACCAATTTTCTGTTTATTTTTCTAGGAGTAAACGGTACTGTGTGAGTAAACAGACTTTCAGGTTCTGTGGGGCATCCAAGGCATTTGAAAGTATCACTTTGCCCAAGGGAATGGGTTCACCCACCCCAAAGTTCCCTCTCTCCTCTGCCTAGGTAAAAATCCTCCCTCGCTCACTGGTTTATAATTGCTTCTACGCATTTTTCAGCGTTAAACGGCTCATATTCTTTAAGGTCACAATTATTTGGTTTTTCGGCGTTGAATTCATAACCTACCTCTGAAACTTGGAAGTTACCTCGGAGGTTACCAGTTACCAACCAAACACGCAGGATACTACCTCGCCGAGCAAGGAGTGGAAGAGCAGCCGAGGCACTTTGGCGACGGGGGGGGGGGGCATTTCGCATTTTTGCTACTTCCCATCAACGTGTCAAGAGCTATTTCCTGAGCTTACAAGGGGTGACAGGCCTTTCATAGTGGCTTGGTCTTGCTCCAGCTTCACAACTGTACACAGGTTTCAACAGACTGAGACTTGTAAACACAAGTGAAGCAGCAAAGGTGCAAAATGTCCTTCCCTGTCGCTGAACTGCGCTAGGCAGCCTGAGGAGTGGTGCCCCTCCCCCAAATGCGTTAACGCTAGCACCAAATTACTTATATATAGGAACCAAATAAACCAGTCTGCCCATAATTCTGAGCAAAGTAAACAAACCGTGCCCGTCGTGGGTGAAGGGCGCTAGCTGAGTGTCGTTGGAGCGCGGTTTTCGCTATGCTGACGAGGCTTAGCGCACGGGGGCGTGGCCTGACGTCAGCATTGCTGTGATGACGAGTCATTTCCCTATATAAGCTCCCCAAGGACGGACGTACTCCAACCTAGTGGTTTCTTTTTCGTACTACATCTGTAGCTTGTCTTTGCTCAACTCCTGGCAGATTGTCGCTTTCTTTAAGCCGTTTGTTCGCAACTTGAACGTTAATGGTAAATAGGCTCATACTTCATGTATTGCCACGGTGGCTTACGTGGATTTGGCTATTTAAGATAAAGCCTCTGGATTTGCTCCCACAGTGTTCGTTCGCATTTGTGTATCGCCTTCACTCAGTAACTAACCCTGTGCCCATTCATTGTAATTTCAGAGCGAATTCTAAGTGATCAACATGAAGACATTACCTCTTGTGGGGCATTCTTGTCCTATTCTCTATTGGTATATGGGCGGACGACAGTAAAGACGAGAAGAAGGTAAGTTACAATTTACTTGTTCAGTTTTCTCACAGATCTCTTATCTTCTCAACATAGGAAACGAAATATGGAACAATCATCGGAATTGATCTTGGTACCACATATTCCTGTGTTGGTGTGTACAAGAATGGACGAGTAGAAATCATCGCTAATGACCAAGGTATGTTCCTCTGGATAAATGAACGAACTAAGTAAATGCGGCCTAAGTCTAAGAGTTAGAGTTTAAGAGGGAGGAGCTATTGATGGATTTCGACTTTTTTTTCTCCTGCCAATAAATTAGGAGCCTCCTGGGGTGGGTAAACCGCGTTCTTTGTCTAGAAGAAGTTTTTATCACGATGATGCTAGTTTTCCGCCAGAAATCCTTGGAACAGGACACATACTGCCGCTGGGGAAAATTTTCGGAAAATGCGGCCTTCCTCAGTTTCCTTCTCTCTTACGACCCCTCCTTTCCCATCCTCCAACTTCTCCCAGCTTCCTACCACATTTTCCGAAATTTCCAATGAACTTCCCAGTTTTTCCCATTCCCCAAGAATTTTGCTGTCGAGGGGGGGGAGGCAATTACGACCCTCCCCCTTTGGAATTTTT